GTCAGTGTGCGTCATGAGAGAATTAGCGAGTATACTATTATTCCCTGTCTGTGTGATCTGGGTGAGTCACTTTCCTATATCTCCTGGCTCTCGTAATATGCGTATTCATCATTCATCAACATATGTAACCTCCATATGACTAGCCAGCGAGGTTAGCGCCCCTAGCGGTAGGGGCGCTAACCTGGCGTTTTGAAAAAAAGCCTCGCGTTTTGAAAAAAAGAGGCTTAGATTCTGTTTACTAAGCATTTGGTGTGTAAATGTTTTCCATAATCCCTCAGAAAAGATCACCTGGATTATATTAACTTTCACAGAATATAGTGTATAAGTATATTGCAACTGTGTTTTTGTTTTGGGGGGGGATGAGAATCCAGATTGTGTTTACGTTCGTCTGGCTAATCACAGGAAATCCGGATTACGTCTCGGAACCTTCGAATCGCAAAATGTAATTTGTTTTTATCCTTTTATACACATTATCAACATACTGGTGGGTTGAATGTATGCACTGAATATATTGTGTATTATATATATATATATATATATATATATATATATATATATATATATATATATATATATATATATGTCTTACTTAGTAGCCAGAACGCACTTCTCAGCCTACTATTCAAGGCCCGATTTGCCTAATAAGCCAAGTTTTCTTGAATTAATATATTTTCTCAATTTTTTTTCTTATAAAATGAAAAAGCTACTCATTTCATTATGTATGAGGTCAATTTTTTTTATTGGAGTTAAAATTACCGTAGATATATGACCAAACCTAACCAACCCTACCTAACCTAACCTAACCTATCTTTATAGGTTAGGTTAGGTTAGGTATCCGAAAAAGTTAGGTTAGGTTAGATTAGGTAGGTTAGGTAGTCGAAAAACAATTAAATCATGAAAGCTTGGCTTATTAGGCAAATCAGGCCTTGCATAGTAGGCTGAGAAGTGCGTTCTGGCTACTAGGTACGACATATATATATATATATATATATATATATATATATATATATATATATATATGTATATATATATATATATATATATATATATATATATATATATATATATATATATATATATATATATATATATATATATATATATATATATATATATATATATATATATATATATATATATGTATATATATATATATATATATATATATATATATATATATATATATATATATGTATATATATATATATATATATATATATATATATATATATATATATATATATATATATGTATATATGTATATATATATATATATATATATATATATATGTATATGTATATATATATATATATATATATATATATATATATATATATATATATATATATGTATATGTATATATATATATATATATATATATATATATATATATATATATATATGTATATATATGTGTGTGTGTGTGTATATCACGAAAATAAATATATATATATATATATATATATATATATATATATATAATATTATGTATCAATCTACCTATAATCTATCCGTAACTCTCGGGTAACTGTTTACTGCTAGGTGAACAGCGAAATTCGGTAAAAGGAAACATGCTCAACCATTTATGTACTGCCAGGGAATCGAACCCGGAATTCCCGATTGTGAGTCGAGAACGAAGCCTACTGTACTACGAGACCGCTGTTAATATGTGGGTGTAGAAATGTGTTATAATACCCGTATATATGTATGTTTGTACATGCGTGTGTGCTGATGCTGACTTATGATTCCTCATCGCCCTCATGTCCCTACTCATTCCTCCACCTAATAACGGGGAGAGGAGACTGGACGGCAGTGTAGGAACAGTGCAGGACACTGCAGGGGACATGACAGCTACATACATGAGAACAAGGCCGTGACTCGCAAGAACACACCCGTACCTAATAGAACAAGCCAGGGTATAACAGTACCACAAAACAGGTACGATATGCTCCCACTAACACGTTTGCCTCAATTATGTGCTAGAAGAACATTTGATACCAGACTCCTTTTAGGATTTAATAAAGTATATACGTAGCTAGGCTGGTTCCCCACAAGGACACTAGTAAATTAAATAAAGTTACGGTGATTTTAACTCTGTTGGCGCGTTGGTCATTGTTGTGTCTGCCAGAGGTACGATAAAGGGCAGAGCGGCCTGGACAGGGAAGGGGAGGGTCGCCTAGTCTAGTATTACCTGTGATGGCGGTTATTGTCTGCGGCTTTATGGTCGCTATCCACACCCTCTCATCTCATTCTCCCCCCACCCCACCCCCTCTCTTTGTCTTTGTCTTTGTCTGTCTGTCTTTCTCGCTCGACCCCAAACACGCATTCATCAACATGCTGTTCATTCAAAACAGGAATTTTCTCATACATAAATTAATATTATTATATATTAGCATATTGTGTATATTTAGGCACTGGTTAGGTTAGGTGTTTAGGTTCAGTTGGCGATTATTTGTATTTGTAGTACGTGGGTGAAGCATTTACAGCGTTGTGGTTCGAACAAAAGTCGTCAGTGAAGCACTTGCTCCGGAAGTGTTCGGACGTCTGTTGTTGTTAAAGATTCGCTACCTGACGTTATCTTGAGATGATTTCGGGGCTTTAGTGTCCCCGCGGCCCGGTCCTCGACCAGGCCTCCACCCCCAGGAAGCAGCCCGTGACAGCTGACTAACACCCAGGTACCTATTTTGCTGCTAGGTAACAGGGGCATAGGGTGAAAGAAACTCTGCCCATTGTTTCTCGCCGGCGCCCGGGATCGAACCCGGGACCACAGGATCACAAGTCCAGCGTGCTGTCCGCTCGGCCGACCGGCTCCCCGTTATAGTAGTAGTTTCTTGGCTGTTTTGCTTTACTTGAGCTCAGGCATATACCCTGGAAACACAAACCGTAACTGTCTCTATTTTCCGCTTGTTACAACTTGTAATAAAGTTGTTACATCTTGGCTTAACGTGTTTATGACGTATTAGAACGTTGTTACAACTTGCTATATTGGTTGTTATAACTGGTTAGGAGGTGTTAAAACTTGTTCGAACGTTGTACCAACGTCGTAGTTTCGGTGTGTGTTTGGCTTTTTAATCCCTAGTAAGGAATTAGTAAGATAAAGAGGGTGAGTATTTGCATATTATGTTGTTTCTTTATAAATATGTATAAAAGGTCAGTTGGGGGCGTGACTGTACTTGGGCAGGCGCTAAAAGTATATAGGCCTAGATGGTTTGAACTTTTATTTCTTTATTATTATTATTATTTTCTACCACAGACGTGGCCAGACATTTACAATGCTAACCAGCATATATACATTTTCTTCTGTCCTCCATGGACAGGGTTAGAGATGTGTTAAACATATAGTTCAGGGATTTATTGAACACTCGACCACAGAAGGTGATTCGGTGCTTTTAAAATGCTAAGCTAACCTACAGACGTAAATACATAGATACACAGATTTACGTCTGCCCTACATAAAGTGTTGGACCGTGTAGTGGACTATAGGCCTAGGGTGCAGGGGACGGTGCCCGCTGGTTACTGCATGTTGTTACACATTTGATCATTATGGACTTCAACTACAACATTTAATTGCACAAGGAGCGCACTACCTGCCTCCGGTACCAGTAAGGGCGTGACGCCAGTCTCCGTGGTGCAGTGGTAAGACACTCGCCTGGCGTTCCGTGAGCGCTTTGTCATGGGTTCGTATCCTGGCCGAGGAGGATTTACTGGGCGCAAATCCTTAACTGTAGCCTCTGTTTAACGCAACAGTAAAATGTGTACTTGGATGAAAAAACGATTCTTCGCGGCAGGGGATCGTATTCCAGGGACCATAGGATTAAGGACTTGCCCGAAACGCTACGCGTACTAGTGGCTGTACAAGAATGTAACAACTCTTGTATATTTCTAAAAAAAAACTAGTTTACTGACCAACCAACCGAGTCTACTTTACCTCCGGACTAAAGTAAACTCTGAGTCTATGTACTCCCAGCAAAGGGGTATACCTCTCGGTGCATATATCATGGCTGACTTTCTCCTGTCACCCAGTGTAAACCTTCGTCATTGTCTAAACTTTACTCATTTTTATTGTTTATTTACTATTAGGAACTTTGAGTTAGCGTTAATGTAACTATGTGGGAATTCAACAATCAGATCCATGATATAAGAAGCACCCAAGTGTCCAGATACGAAACCTGTACATCTTTCTTCGATCATGGCGACTAATCTGTATCTATTTGAACAGTTTAGCAACGCTGCGAAGTCGTTCGCTACCCAAGGTTATTATTGTTTAAAGACGACCTCGCTCAGGAGGTCGTGAAGAGTATCATTAATACACACTATAGCCGTCAGGACTGAGGAAAGATGTACTGGTTTCTTATAAGAACACGTAAATGGTTGAGGAATCCGTCCTGTTCTACACTAAGATAAGTAAAGAACCCTGTGGGACTCCACTGGTGACACTTCCTGTAACCAAATTCAAAATCAAGTATGTTTATTGAGACAAGAAATAAATACATCCCAGAGGAATAGAGTAGCTTAGCCCTGTAACCGACTGTATCCCACCCTTCACGCCTGCCATTCACGCCCACCAACATCTTCCCTCTCCCGCCCGCCCGCCGCCCGCAACGCCAGAGTAAGCGACAGTATGAGAGCGCTTCCCATCGTTCCATTGTTCACGGCTCCGTGGCCTTGTTGCTGCTGTCATCTCTCTCTCCGGCGCCTCTCACACGCTGGCAATCACTCACCAGCTTGGCGGGATAAACAGTCATGCCATGTAGTAGAAATTGTTGGTTTAAAATGTAAAATGTTTATGCTGAAAAAGTTTTATTTGAAGAATTTGGTTCTTTAAACAGAATTCGCGGGCACACTGAAACAGTGTTCGAAATCTATATTTCAGATTATCGTCAATAATACTTTGTATTAACGTAACCAAACGTAATGAAATCCAACCTAACCCAACTTTAACCTAAAGTAGCCTTAACCTATCTATGGACAGAGAGTAGATAATGGTATAAATTATGTA